ACTGTTTGGCTAACTATTCCTTTTGCTTTTTTGCAAACTAGTGACTCTTTCATTCTACTGTTTAGCCAAATTCCTAATGATCTTACAATCTTGTTTTTTGGTTCTTCTATTATTCTACTCTGCCTGAATGTAATTTTTCTATCTTCTTTTTTTAGTCTAAAATTTATTACTATAAGCTTTGATTTTGCTTTATTTATTTTAATATCATTCACTTTAAAGAACTCTTCTGCAATTCCAAAAATTTTTAGCAGTTGGTCTTTGCTGTTTGCAATCCATGTAGTATTATCTGCATATGCAATTACTGCTTGCCTATGTTTTGTGATACAATTACTGTTTGCATTTTTTAATGTTTCTTGCACTACTGTATAGTCTAGTAGTCTATCTTTTTGAATTCTTTCCAACAGTGGATCTTAAAAGAGCTGTCAGACAAGTAGAGAAATTACTTCTTCTTGATATATACCATCTTCTGCTATTATTTCTTCTGTTAGGCCATAAGTTGTGATCACCTTAAGTTAACGTTTACAGAAGAGGTTAATAATATATTTAATTGTTCTTTATGGTACTTTAACTCTCTTAAGTGCCTACTCCAAGCTTTTTAATAGAACTGAGTCAAATGCTTTTTTCATATCTTGCAGAAGTATCTATATTTCTTTGTTTTTTTCTTGTGCTTCTTCTATTATCATATTTAGTATATGTATTGGCTGCTCTGTGGAGTTGCTAGGCAGGCCTGCATAATTTGGTTCTTTGAGTATTTCCCTTTCTATAAATATCTTGGCTAGCCTTTTTGTTATCACCTTTGTAACTAACTTTCTAAAAGTTTCAATTAGTGCTATTGGTCTAATATTGTTCAGATTATATTTCCAGTCTATATCTTTTGGAATTGAATAGACTTACATTATTTTTTACTTCTTTCTGCTTGTTTTATTAGAATATAGCTTATGTTTGAAATTCTTGGAGCTGTGTTGGCTTTGAGGTCTCTTAATATGTCTTCTCATTTCTTCTCTTCTATCTTTTCTTCTAACTGTTCATATTAAAACTTGTTGATCCACTCTTTTGGGTTGTATACTTTTATTCATATTTTGCCAGACCTTCTATAACATCCTCAGGCTTTGTTGTTAGACTGGTTCCATCTTCACTTTGGGTTATAAATCTGTCTAAAATTATCTTTTTGTATGGTTTGTTCAGAAGGCTAGCAATTATTCATCTCTGGTTGGTTTTTATCATCTCACATCTTCTATTTATATTTTCTTTTATCTGTTTTCTTTGGACTCATTTCCACTCTTCTTTTCTTCTGTCTTTCAGAATCCTTTGTCAGCCTTTTATATCATCTATCCAAGCTTCCGACTATTGTTTGTGTAGCTTTGGTAACACTACTTTTATCTTTTTACCAATGTCTATAAGCTTCTTGTTTATCTCTTCTTTTTCTTTTTTCTCTATCTCTTGGTTCCTTCTAATCTTTGCTCTTTTGATTATTTGCTATAGTTCTATTATGTATTTATGTTGTTGTGATTTCTTTTTATAATGTCTTTTGTTTGTTTTTGTATTAAATATCTTCTTTTTTTGAATTTTTTTATTTGCTGCTTCTATTATAGCTTCTTCTATTGCATTTCATATCTGGTCTAGCATGTCTGCATTATATGAAATGCTTCTACTATCTTTTTTTAATTGCTTCAGTGCTTTTTTCCATTCTAATTGAGCTTGAAACTCTTTAGCATATTCTTCCCAATCTTCTTGCTTTGCTTCCTCATACAAATATATTGTTCTCATCTGGTCTTTACATTTAATTTCTGCACTGCTCTGGTTCATAATTATATGCTTCAACCATATAATCATTGTTAGTATCTTGTGGTTACTACCTGTTATATCTTCTGCTTTCTCTATATTGGCTTCTTGAAGACTAGCTGTAATTGTTTCTGACAATCAGATATAGTCAATTCTTGTTGCTGCTTTTTGGCTTAACCATGTGTATGCTCTTTTTGTTAGATACAAATTTCTGAACAAGTCTATAAAATCTTGCTTCTTAAGTCAATTAAAGATTGGTAGTTTTTTATAATCTGTTGTTTGTGGGTGCAGTCTGTCTAGTATATTGTCTACTATATGATTGAAATCTCTAAGTATGACTATTTCTGTATACTTTCTCTTGTTTGTTACTATTTTTACAATTTTTTGCTGTATTTTCTTACTGACTGCTTTGTTATTTGGTAAAATATATACTCTTATTATTATTAGTATAAGTTGTTTAAAGTAAAGCCTTACTTCTATCATATACTTGCTATGTCTTTTAACTGCTTTAACATGTTTTTTCTAAGTTTTATCTATTAGGATCCCAATACCTGATCCTTTTTTCTTATCTAATACTGCACTTGTCCAGTAATTTTTAAACCTTATGTTAAGATTGTATAATAGAATTTTTCTTTTTTTTTCTATAATGTTTGTTTCTGTTATTTCCAAAATTACTATCTTTTCTTCTTCTGCTTAACCCAGCAGGCTTTCTAATTTCCAACCTCTGGCTTGAGTCTATTGATGTTATGATATGTGATTTTTATTTATTTTTTTCTTTTTTTCTATCTCTTTTTTAACTGCTTGTATCTTGTTTCTGCATTTTTTGCTTTTTTCTTTTCTTTTCTTTTCTTTTCTTCTTCTGGATTAGGAGATTTTCCTTTATTTCTTTTTTCAAAAGTTCTTCTCTTACTGTGCAAAAAACCTCTAATCTTCTCATCTATATTTATGAATTCAACTTGGATGCTCTTAGAAGCAGTTAGCCAGATCTTCTTTCATGCCTAGCTAAGTGTCTTCTAGTCGATTAAGTCTATCTAAGATTTGACCTAAGACTTTCTTCATTTGTCTTGTTTCTATATGTACTTATGTGTTTAGTCTTGCCTTCTTTTCAGTTATATTTCTATTATTTCTTTTTGCATTAGTATTTTTGACTCCTAACCATTCTTCTATGTTCTGTAATTAAGGATCACTTTCTATTTTAATGTATCTTCTATTTAGAGCTTGACCACTTTTGTCTTAGCTTTTCCTGTTAATAGTATTTCTATCTCCTAATTATTCTTCTGCATCTTGTATAGGAGGATCATTTCTCATTTCTATATATCTTCTGTTCTGATTTTGGCTATTTCTTTTTCAGCTTCTTTCTCTTCTTTCTCTAAAACTTTCTTTTTTTTTTGTTTCATTTCTTCTTTTATTTAGCTAGAAGACTTGGAAATTGTTATATCTAATTGGTTTTGATTGGGCTGCCTTCATTTCTTTTTCTGTCACAAATGTGACTATCACTGTTCTTCTTTGATTTCTATTTCTGTTTGGTGGGATATATACTGATTTTGCATCTTTGCTTCTCAGGCAGCATAGTAGCAAAACTTCTAAAGTATTGCTTGGCAGCTCTGTTATTTTTGCTATATACTGACTCTGTTTTTGTCTTGCTTCATAATTCTCTTCACCTTCTATTACGCTTACTAGTTTGTTACTGTTGACTGGTATCGACTATAGCATATTTCTTTTTTCTGATTCTTCAACTTGGACAATTACAAGAAACTTGTATTTGGATCTCTTGATTCTTGTTATATGCACTTTTTTAAATCTTCTGCATATATATTCAATCTTTTTTTTGTTTATATCTGCTGGTAGATCCCAGATTGTTATATATTTATATTTTTGTGTTTCCTTCTTTTTAATATCTATTTGGTCATCTGTTAGCTCTTTTTTGCTTTTTTGATATTCATATTTCTTCTTTTTAAACTTTGATGTATTGTTCTTTTATTTTTGATAATCTTTATCATATGTTTTTTCTTTTTCTTCTTATTTATTCTTTATTCTTCTGTAATTATTCTGTACCAATCACTTTCTTTCTTGCTAATTCTTTGTATTGCCTTACTTCTGTCATACTCACAGTCGAAGTCTACCTTTATCCAAAGGTTTTCTCTTTTAAAAACCTTTTTAATGTTTTTGACATATTTATTATTCTTTAGTGACCATTTGATAAAGTTTGTTCATTCTTCTTTGGTCTTTCTAAGTATATTATATGCTAATATGTTTGCAAGTAGACTGTTATTTCGATTGCAGCCTCTTTTGCTCAGTGCTCATATGCTTTCTTTGAGTGGTACTTTTACTATATCAATTTCTCTTTTGATTTCTTGATTTCTTTTTTTTTTTTTTTCTTTTTTTTCTGTTGTTGATCTCTGTCATGATTCTTTTCTATTTATTTTTATGTCTTCTTGTTCTTGCTTTCTTTTTTGTTCCTCTTTTTTTTCTACATAGATAGATAATTTAGTTTCTCTTTGGTTATTATTTGTCTGTCTTATCTCAATACTTACTTTTTCCTTTGCAGTTTCGATATTTACTTGTAAATTCATGTTGGCCTCTTCATCTTTTTTATTTTTTCTTTTTGTTTCTATCTTCAGCTCTTTTGCCTTTTTTTTATCTTATTAGTTTGTTGCTGTTTTTCCTTTCTTTCTGTATTTATTCTGTCTTGGTACTATTCTACAAAATTCAACTTCTTTCTAGGCTGTTCTCTTTCTGCTTTTTCTAGTATTTTTTTTGTTATTTGCAAAAGTGCTGACAATATTGTCTTCTCTGCTAGATATTGCATATGTCTTGCTTGTCTTATTAAAGAAAATTTTATTGTACATACTATTTATCATCTCATATGCCCTTTTTGTAAAAATTGCATTAAGGCTTCTTCTATATTCTTCTGGCAAACTTCTATTTATATTGCACAAACACTTTTTATATACTTCTATGTCATGTGTTGTATCTAGATTAAGCTAGTTGATATACATATTTGTTTATTTACTTTGCTTATTCTATTGCAGTTCTTGTGTAACTTAAAGGATCTATAGTATAGAGTTTTGGCAGTTCCCTAATTTTTTAAACAAAATTTTTTTATTTTTCATCAAAAGTTTTTTATGTGCTGTTCTTTATTGACTTTAAGACTTCTCTTCATATCTTCTATTAAATTATATGCAATTTTTGCTGCTTTGTCTTTTTTGTTAGTATCTCAAGTCTTGTTTTCTAGTCTATTTATTGAGTTTTTTTAAGTTTTGCTTCCTGGAAATTTTGATCGAGGGATCTGCAAGAGAGAGTTAGTGTTAAGATTACTCTTTTAGATTTTATTCATGTTAGTGTATTCCATATTCACTAAACTGGTTTTGGTGCCAGAGGTGTTTAAGTTTTAGTAAGTTTATTCTTTTTTCATAGTTTCTTTTTATGTTTATTATATTACTCACTAGTGCACCTTCTCTTTATTTCTGATATATTCACTACTTCTCTTGCATCAAGTACCAACTTTCCATATCAGGAAACTTCTTTCTAGAAACTTCCTTATATACTGATCTTTTATTCATATGAACTTAAGCTACAGGGTTTCATGTACATTCATATGCATCCATAGATTACAAAGTTTTGTCTCTAGCTAGAATTAAACCATCAACCTTGTCTGTGAAAGAAGGAATGCCTAGACCACTAGGCTATGAGACTCAATTCCAAAGTGAATCTTTCTTGTCTGTGATCAATCACAAACTAAATTATTTATATTGAATTTAATTGTGATGAATATAATCTCTTATCAATTTTAATATATATATAATATTAATGGTTTCTGCTGTTTTTTGTAATATTTAAATTGTATTACATTTGGAAGTAGAGACCAAAATACTAGGCTATATAGTTAATTTTTCATTTTGCTCAAAATCTATTTAGTCAGTCAGATTTTTATATTTTTTTTTAATTCTAACTAATGAATAATTACTCTAAAACACCTATTTAATTACAAAATGAGGCAAACAAAAATAGACAATATGAGTCTCTAAAGATTTGCAGCCAGAGGTGAAACTAACAGAAATTATTGATGCTGAATTTATAATATCCAGCAATTACAATATTATTGAGTTATTAGTATTATTCAAGCATTTAGTTAAGACATAAAGTATAGCAAAAACAAAGAGAAAAGGTCTAATAAAAACAATTTATTTATATAATAAGACAACAAAAGAAAAATAAAAAAATTATTAAACAGACCTTAAGAATTATCTGTCAAAGAATAAGAAACTTAAAGTATTTAAAAAAAAAAATTATAGTACTAATATAGATAAAGTTTAAAATATAATATTTAATGCAATAAAAGATGCAGCTAATAGAAGAAACATATTCAAGAAAAAGATAATTCAAGAGAAAAATAGTATTAAAAAGAAGAAAAATATATTAATGCTGTATAAAGACATTGTAGCACTTAGTAAACTAATACAGAAAGTTAAAAAAGTAATAAAAGAAAAGAAATATGAACTTAACTTAAAAAAGATTAATTTAGAAATAAAAAGAATAAATATAAAATATAGTCTAAAAATAAGTTATATAAAAGATAATGATATAGCATATTTTGCAAATGAAGCCAATTGGTAAAAAAGCAGTAGCAAGTATTAAAAATAGTTAAAAAGATTAAGAAAGATAAGCATATAAGAGCTAAAATTATATTGTGATAGACAGAAGATGTAAAAAAATTAATAGAAAACTAAAAAGAATGCTTACTAATATTTTAGACAAACTTTACAAAAAAATCAAAATTAACTATATATTAAAATATAAAAAAAATAATTGCATTTTATATAATAAACTAAGTACAATACTAAAGCAGACAAAAGAACATTTTAGTGAACAGTTTAAACAGAGAAATGTAATAGATAATAAGAAAATAATAGAATTTTATAAATTGCTCAAAGAAGTTAAAGAAGACTGATATAAGAATTTAAAAATAAAAATATTAATTAATGAATAGCTAAAAGCAGTAAAAGAGATCAAGAATAAAACTG